AAGTTACACTCACATGAATCCTGTATATAATGACTTGCATGGCACCTCACTGTGCCCAGTCAAGCACCGTGTACCACGGCGATCCAGACTGCTGAGTATTATCTATGAGGCTGCTGACAGTTATGGCACAACAGCTGGCAAATTAGACCTATCAGCAATGCTAAATAATTCATGTGAGACAACACTAACATGGCAGATCCTATTCATGACACCCCATCATGCATATGGGAGCACTTTCATCTCTGCTAGGTGAAGAGTTTTACAGTATACAAAAGAAAAAAAAAAGAAAAAAGGTTGTGGTCAGACAGAGACAGAGCGGAGAGTGGGACAATAACTTGGAGGAAGGGCTGTGAGAATGTGTCACTAATAATTACAATGGGAGTCTGGGGATGAAGCATCAACACACAAAGGCGTGTACACAGGATATCATATCCTTTATGTTTTCACTTTCACTTTGAAATTATGTCCAGATATGTTAATGTGAGCCTGTTGGGGGAAGCATGACAGACTTCAGCAGCTTTCTGGGTTCCAACGAAAGAATCAAACCTTCTTCTCTCTGCTACACACACACACACACCCTCACACACACCACCTAAAAGCCTGGCTCGCATGACTGGCGATGGGCAGAAACAGATTATGGTTATTGATCGCTGCCTGGAGATGGATCTGCGTGTGTGTGTGTGTTTACTTGTGTGTCAGAACAGAGGATGGGGACTGAGAGCAGTGTGCAAAAGCTATTGATTCTGTCCGGTAGGGAGGATATGTCTCTGAATCAAGGTCAGTTTTGCATTGTCTCACCTATTAGTAACTTGCCATCTCACAAACACACACGTTGACACACACACGCACACATACAGATCCATTTTTATCTTTAACAATGGCCCTATCACAAAAAGTGACGGACGGAGCATCAAACTCAAGTGCTTGTCAAAGAAAGAAATGAATCCCACCCTCTGGATGAGGAGATTACTCTATAGTGACGGCATGAACGACCTTCATACACAGTAAATGGAATTGGACAGCGAGGCCATCCTGTGACCGACTGCTTTCAAATGAAACAAACTTAGCTCTGTAATGCTACGATGGGGTATATTTTGGCTGAAAAAAATGGAGAAGGTGTAGTAGAAAAAGATGCAGTATTAGCCACAGCCTTGGGAGAATTGTGAAGCAAAAACCATTTAAGATTTTTTTTTTTGAGAAATTAACAAGGTGTTGAAAGCCATTGGTATCAGGGCTTCAAGAGGGAGCACATACAGACTGGACTGAGGTCGAGTGTGACTTTTCTTCAGTCAGAGGGGATCGGGTAAACCATGCCATCTGCAGGAGCCGTTTCTTCAAGTCCAGAGTCAGTGCTGCTGTCTATCATTAGTTTTTAGAGCGCCTCATGCTTCCTTCTGCTCACAATGTTCGAAAAGACAGTCATTTCATTTTCCAGTGGGAATTTTCTCTGCTCCACAATAACAAAAGTGCAAATACCTGCTTTGATGTCCATTTTATCACTGTGCTTCATTGACTTGCAAATTGACATGAGCTAAACTCCAAAAACGATTTGTGGAGTATTGCTAAGAGGAAGTCGAGAGACTTAATACGAATACTGAAGTAACCAGACCTTCCTTAATATATCAGATGATCGTCTCCATCCCACATCGCATTATATTTCATGTACTGTCCCGAAAAGCATTGGGTGTACATGGCTGGCGTTTCTGCTTTAAAAAAAAAATCATCTATTGTTTTTAAATATGCCAAATTTCCAAGAAAATGAGGTAAACAGAAAGAAATGCTTAAAATAGATTTATATCCCTCTGGATTTAACAAATCTAGTCAATAAGCTGTAGTTTTTGCTTTGAATAACTTTCCCATTATATTCTATTTCATTGGGATGTGGCAATAGGTGGATTTAAAACATGTAATGCTATAAGTCACAGCGTTTAACTGTTAATCTAAAAATGTATTAGTCTAAAAAATAAATAAATAAATAAGACATGGTTCAACTTTGTTAGGACCTTTTCCACTATATCAGAAATGTTGATGAAAGAGATCCATTGATTGTTTTTGACAGGAAACCTGAATACTTTACTGTTTTTGTTTTAAGTTAAACAGAAGAAAAAGATAATGCAACTCTAAGGGCTTTGCACATGGCACTCAGTGGTTCAGCCATCCATCTTCCATCCGGGGTCAGCAGCCTAAGCAGAGGAGTCCAGACTTCGTTCTCCCCAGTCACTTGGGCCAGTTCCTCCGGGGAAATCCCAAGCCATTTCAAGTTTAGAAATGTAGTCCCTCCAGAGTGGCCTGGGTCCTCATCTGGGTCTCTCCTCCGTATCAAAACCCTGAGATACTTAATCTCATCCAATTAGGGCAGCACTTTGTCCTCGACCTGGAGATGGCACTCTACCCTTTTCCAGCTCAAGACCGGGGTCTTAGTTTTAGAGGTGCTGATTTTCATCAGAGCCGCTTCTCAAGTGAAATATTCTGGAAGTGGTTGTAATTCTTTCCCTACTGATTCAGACCTTAAAAACGCTGAAAGCAAATAATATGCTTTTCCAACCCTTTCAGGACTGTGTAGGAACCCAGCATACACAAGTGCAGAAATTACTCAATAAAAAAAACTGTGGTTTAAAAAAAAAAAAAAGAAAAACATTTTGTGGTCACCGGTGTTGACAAAGCCGCTGTGAAGGATAGACAAGCTGCAGATGGGATGCTCTGACCACAAAGCCAGACCAGTTGCATTTTCTATCAGACATACATAAATAATAAATTATCCATGATGAGTTGTTTGTAAAAGGCTTGTGATAAGATTCTTATTAGTTTGAGGCCGATGCAGTGTCCTGACAGAGGAAGCTGAGACAAAATGTGCAAGAAAAGTGCAACTAACAGCTGTGGAGCTCATGAAAAAGTGGACTGAGCAGGTCAGATTTAACAAATCAGCAGGAGAGAGGAAAAGGGGAGATGGAAGGAAACAGGACATAATGGGGAAAGATATTACGAGGTGGTATCCTACTGAAAAAACATTGTTGCCCATCCGTGTGTATTTTCCTGCAATGTTGCTGGTGGACATTTTTTAATATCAAATCTTATTAGCTTGAGAGATTCTGGGAGCGTTGCAGCGGACTGCTGGAGTCCTCTTGAGCCTTGTGACGGAGCGAGAGAGGGGGCTGCTGAGCCACACTGGCCTTTTATCTGGACACACAGGGGTCATATAGCTCCTCTTTGAAGAAATATTCTCTAATTACCTTGGAGAGTGGCCTCACAGGCAGAGAGCAGGCTGTGGATTGTTAAGGCATTGTGGAGGGGTAAACTAAGGATGAGGATTTTCTTCTTGCACAGAAAAAGGAAAACACACACATCCTTCAGGGAAAAAAAAAACACAAGTTGTTGCTCTGACTTGTTAAAGATAGAGATCTGCATATCTAAAGAAGCAAAAGAAAACAATGCAATAAACAGGGAAATAAAACCGGAGCAATGCACATCCAGTGTTGAACACGGCTCAAAGCTAAACTTGAAACGGCATTTCCAGTTCCTACTGCCACTGCTGAACAATCAACACATGAAAGAACCTCAACTACCCTAAAATTTGTTACTATATAGCTTTAACAAACCATTACAGATTTCGCTATTTCACTGCCACTATCCTGACAAGAACTCTCATTCAACATACAAACATCAGACCTACAGATATTGGCAGTGTGCTCTGCCTGGCTCACTTGTTCATCTACTCTTGGACAGTGTGAGGTCTGGGTGCCCATCAGTGCCAGACCTCCAGAGGCAGCGCTCATCTCCTCCCATAGATCGCGCCTTTGTGCTTATTGCTCCTCTGCTAAGGAATGCCAGGTGAAGCCGTGCGACTCAACACAGGCCTGTTACTCGCCCCTCTCTCCATCGACTCCCACCACCCCCATACTGCAACCTCCCTGAGGCTCACACAGGCCGTCAGTGGCCCCACCACCTCTGCTCCCCCTCAGCTCTGGCACAGACAGTCACACTGGGCTAATTCACTTGGCGTTGGGTAACAGACATCTGTCACTCAGGATGCCCCAGGGGACACACAGACACAGCCTGATACTGGGTTGGGGGGTGGGGGGCGGGCGATGCGATGCATTGTGAAACGCACACAGACGGATGCATACTTACACACAGGCAACGCGGCGTGTGTCGCAGCTTGATTTGGGACAGACGGTGGTTGATGCATGAGTATGACGAAAGGAAAGTTTTAAAAACAACAAGTACGTGCACCTGAAAACACAAATACAAGAACTTCCTTCCAAACTGAACACACTCCTTTGGGGAGGTTTCTATAGCAACTACCAGTGGGACGGAGGCGCTGCGGTGAGAAGGTGCTGTACATGTAGTCCGAGGAGGAGCAGGGGCGTTTGAGGAGATCGGATTTCTCCCTCCAGGGGCCATCCCGATTCTGCCCCCCCCATCTCACCCCACACCCCCAACAACTCCATGCTGCCGGTATTCACATGCTAATTTATCTCCACTGGTAATTACACTCTCTTTAAACCAACTGACAACTACAGCTGGAGTCAGGCTCTTAACGGCACACTGTTGGATGGGTGGAGGGACGCAGGCGTGTGTGTCTGAATGCACTTACATGTATTTGCTCATGGCGCTTTTATTTTGCCTCTCTTTTTCGTCCATATAATGGTAGTGATAGATGTTGACACATTATCTCTGCTCCAACCCAAAACAGCCCTACAAACCTCCCATTTTGCTCCAGGCTGTGAAACAGCCCAACCTAATAGTTATATGTAAATAAGGCAGATCGCTGTCAGCACTCAGCTGTGTACACTGGCTAACACGACATGCACGCCACATGTCTCAATGAATTTGCCCAGAAGGGGTTTTAGTTTCACTATAAACTGAAGCTTTGGAAAGTTTTACCTCAATTGCTGGTCTTTTTCTTTTTTTTTCTTTTTTTTTTTACACTAAAGCATTCAAGTGATGATCTGTTGTTATATGAGATAGTGAAGAAGACACGGTGGAGGTGTAAAGGATACAAGCTCTGGTAGAGAGTCAGCCGGGACTTGACAGCTCTGCTGGCATTGATACAAGTGGCTCGTACCAAACTTGGCAACAGCGACCCGGTGACGATGGCGCCATTAAACAGAGGTCCAAAGAAAGGAACCTAAAGAGTTTCAGAGAAAAAAAATACATAAGAATTAAAAGAAGAAAAAAATAATAATTTGAGTCCAATGATTATTTGTACAGTGCTTTTTTGTCACACGATGAAAAAAACAAAAACAATAAAACTGACCAAAAATGTATTTTATTTTGGTAAAACAAACAAACAAAAAATCTATCCAAACTAATTAAAACTTCCAATTTACAAAACTAATTGCCCCTTATATCTAATAACAGGTCACGCCACTGCAATAACTGCCATCCAGTGTTCAGGCTAACTCACAATTAGTCTTTTATGCCATTATGAAGGAATTTTGTTAGACATTTTTTTTTTCTTTTGCAGAATTGTCTTGAATGAGCCATTAATTGTAATGTCATAATCAGTTTCAAGCTTGGACTTTGACTGGACCACTATGTTCCTATTGTTTTTTATTTTTATTTTTATTGTTTAGGTTATCAGAGGCCCTGCGACAGACTGGCGACCTGTCCAGGGTGAACCCCGCCTCTCGCCCGGAACGTTAGCTGGAGATAGGCACCAGTACCCCTCCCGACCCCACTGAGGGACAAGGGAGATCAGAAAAAGGATGGATGGATGGAGGTTATCAGAGATTGACTTGATGGTTTGCTTCAGAACATATTAATGCTGTCAAGTGCTTAGATTCAATGTGATTCACTGGAGCCCCTATGCCTTCAAAATATCTTTGTAACCCATCCCAGACTAATACATGTCTCCCTTGTGATCACACAGGTTCTGTTTAAGTGGTTTCTTTGCTCTTCTGGCCTGGCAGTAAACATGTTGGGGTGTGGCTAGTCATATAAAAAATGTGTGCGACTGTCAGATAATTATTTTAGCAGGTGGGCGATTAATTTTTCAGGTGCAGCTAGAACAATGTGTGCATTTACCTACATATTATATAATATAATTTGAAACAATGAGAGTGAAAAAAACAACAAAAAAAAAACTAAATTTTAAACAAATCTGTTAAGGAGAAAGGAGCAAATCCTTTTTCGCAGCACTGCAGGAGATTCTTGGATTAAAAATCTTCATGGATATTTCTTCCAAACGGTTGCTCCATCTGTTTAGGGCAAAGGGTTCAAGTTGAAATTGAATTTTTCCTAACTTTGCATGACAACTACACATATCTAATGCGAATCAATGTTAGGTAAATGAAATTAAAATGACAATCAATGCTATACAATGCCCTCATATTGAGCTGCTGGACAAATACAAAAGGAGCAATATGAATTTTAGCAACAGCCTGAGTGTGTGTGCGTGTGTGTGTGCGGGAGTTGTACACGCGTCTGTTCATGCATATTGGAAGGGGCCCTTAATCACCAGAGCTCAATAGTCATTGACCTGGAAGTTGACGCGAATGTCAAAGGGTTCCTGAAAGGTTCAACTTGGCAGTTCAGACACTTTAAGAGTCCAGTTGAATTAAAGAACATTTTTTATGGAGATGTTGTTCAAAAAAAAAGAAAAAAGATATTTCTTTTAGATGCAATCATTTTTCTTTTATTCATAACATCCCACAAATATGTTAAGGATTTTTTTTTGAAAAAATATTCATGCAAAAAGAGTGTAAATAGATATTTTTGACCATCTGAAAGTCGTCATCAGTGGCTTTAGGAGTTTAGACATTTCACTGTCCTCTGTGAGGCCACACATCGAGTACAGCACTGCAAAGTAACCAAGATGAAAGCTAACCAACAAAGGGCAGTAACCACCTCTGAGAGCACATACCCACAGTGTGGGTAATAATGCACTGCTGGAGGAGAAGAGGACTGAAAGCCTTCAGACAGAAAACAGAAAGCAGAAACATCTTTTAAAAATTCACAAGAAAAAAAAAAGAACAGGAAATATAGGGAAGAGATTGCATTACCACATAAACAGAGACAATATATTAAAACAGCACCGTGCCGTCTGAACACAGTTGAAGACTTCATGGTGTACAATTTGGCCTGTCACAGGAGGGGACGTTTGGATGTTTGATGATGGATCTTATCCATTAAGTGTCTCAGAAAGCTTCAACTGCGAACCAGCATGTGGAAAAGCAAAACCTTCTCTCAACTAAATACGGCAGGGTCTTTACCAGGATACCAGTAGGTTTTTACTGCCTCCACCACCTAAATGTTCAAAAACAGTATTTAGAATCACAGCTTTTTGGGTGGGCATTTGCTTATTGTGGGTTAATAATTTCTATTCAATTTTATTTGAAGAGGTTGATTGAGTCAGCTAATCGCAGACTAAAATATGTGACTTACACTCAAAAAAAAAAAAAAAAAGTACCGTAAAAACCAGATTATAACACTCTTTCAAACTCTGACAGTCCAGATCACATAACAAGTCAATCCAGACTCAGTCAGTGGTTTGGAAAATTGCATAATTGGACATATATTATAGAATGTGTTCATTTCTAGATTTGAATTGACAAATGTGGGGTTTTCTCCACAATCTAAGTGTCAGTGTAGCTTTGCAGACACTTTCAGTGAGTGAACAGCTAAAAAGAACCCGTCATGATCCCTGCTGCTCTCTGCCTGCCTGAGTGATGAGGCCTGCTCAGCCCCATTTCTGCTCTTTGAAAGTCCTATAGGAATGAATTAAGTTAAGGAAGAGAACACTAAGTTTCACAGGTTAAAGTGTTGTATATTATAACTGCTCTGTAAAAAACCCAGATAAACTTGTGTTAGAGCAGCAGAAACTGTCCTGGAATTCCAGGGGGACAAAAAAAAAAAGCTTTTAATTCACAAAATGTACTGTTTCTTCCTTTTTATATGAAACATGTACACCAACGCACAAGCGTTAGTGTGCATGCTTTCCAAAGAAGTACAGCGATCCCTCGCTGTAACGCGGTTCACCTTTCGCGGTCTCGCCGCTTCGCGGATTTTTTTTGTGCAGTTTTTTCCACAGTGCATTGTGTTCTGCGTCCTGATTGGCTAAACAGTCTCCGAGCTCCTTCTC